AAGCCGACATGAAAAAAGAAGAAGATAAGTTCTCTGTTATTCATATTCTCAAATTTAATCTAAGTTGTTAAGTACTTAGAAATAGTTTACATTGCTTGAATGTATAATAGAAGTTAGTAAAGATAGCAGATTAGATTTATTCGGTCTATAAAAATATTAAGCTACGTGAAATTTGTTTTCAGTAATTTCTTAGATTGCATTAACAACATGAGATATGTTTTGTTAAACACATCACTCTGCTTTTTGTACCACTTGTACGACTCATGTATTATTCCAAATGTATTAACTTGATCACAAAATTCTCGTATGCAGGTAATAAAAATCAGTGGTTTGATTCTCAAACTGGACAATGAAGCTGTCAACAGAACTGGTCAAACGACACAAGGTTAGTAAATTTCTTTTGAAGTTAAGTCTTTAAACACATTGAGTTATAGAACAAACATAAGACTAAATTAAAGTACGAATGAAACTATTTCTATTGATAGTAAGAACCGGTATACATAAGACTCAACGGTATACACGTGTTTCCTTCGTCTTTGTATCCAGACTCAACGGTATACACATGTTTCCTTCTGTTTGAATTTTGATCGAGAAAGAGAAGACCAGATCCATAAACAACAAAGGGGAAGCCGACATGAAAAATAGAAGATAAGTTCTCTGTTATTAATATTCTGAAAATTAAACTAAGTTGTTAAGTACTTAGAGTTAGTTTACATTGCTTGAATGTATAATAGAAGTTTGTAAAGATAGTAGATTAGATTTATTCGGTCTATAAAAATATCAAGCTTCGTGAAATTTGTTTGGTATAATTTCTTAGATTGCATTTGGTCAACAACATGAGATAGGTTTTGTTAAACACATCACTCTGTTTTTGTACCACTTGTACGACTCATGTATTATTCTAAATGTATTAACTTGATAACAAACTTCTCGTATGCAGGCAATAAAAATCAGTGGTTTGATTCTCAAACTGGACAATGAAGCTTTAAGCATAACTGGTGAAACGACACAAGGTTAGTAAATTTGTCATGTAGTTAAGTCTTTAAACATATTGACTTATAGAACAAACATAAGAGTAAATTAAAGTACGAGTGAAACTATTTGTTTTGATTATAAGAACCGGTATACGTAAGACTCAAACAAATTGTCAACAAAATATAAATAGCAGTGTTTAAAACCAGATATGCTAAATAGAAAATCAGATTAGTTTGGACAATGAATAGAAAATGAAGAAACAACTCTTGTCTTGTTTGCATTGGTGAAAATAAGTAAAAAAAATTAACTATATATCTATTTAGCTTACAAATAGAAAGATTATAAGTAAATAAAAAATATTTACCTTCTCAAATCTACTCTTCCAGATTGGCAAAAACCTCTTTAAACACAACATTTGTAGTTTTCTTTTGAGGTTTACCATTTTTGTCAAGAGCCAAAATCTTCAAACCTTTTTTAGAAGTGACCCTAAACACACCCACGTAGAGTTGTCCGTGTGAAAACACAGGTTTTGGTAGAAAGATACCAACTTCGGATAAGGATTGGCCTTGGCTTTTGTTAATTGTAATAGCAAACACCACTGCCAATGGCAATTGCCTTCTACGCATCTTAAAAGGCAGTCAAGTATCTGATGGTGTAATCAACAACCTTGGAATATCTACCAATTTACCAACCTTTTCTCCAGTAATTACCCTAGCTTGAACCATAAAGTCCATTAGCTGAGTGATCTGTAGTCTCGTGCCATTCATTAACCCAGCAGAAGGTTCAATGTTTCTCAGAATCATGACAGGACAACCAACCTTCAGTCTAAGACTATAGTTAGGCAAACCAGACACCTTAATAGTGTTAAGAAAATCAGCTCCTAGTGCTTCATTGTTGAGCGAACCCTTATCTCTTGGGTCTATACTATCGGCAGTTAAGTAAATTTTCTCATCACCTGAAATAGAAAAGCAATCATTAGAACAAATATTGTATACATATAAGACAAAAAAATAAGAATGTATAATATATAAATTTACCATCCAGACAATCCAACATGTAGTCATTAATCATATTGACATCTCATTAGTGGGACATAAGATAGCTCTATCTTGAAAAAACTTGGCCTCTTTCTTTTCATGTAGAGATGCAGTATCACCATAAATGGCTGTGTTGATTGCTTCTATAGGATTTTCCGAGTCTTCAATAAGAAATTCTGATGGAATATCGATCTCCGCTTCACCATCATTAGGCTCTACTAGACATTTAGATATATGTATGAAGATAGACATTTAAAATCAGAAACTGAAAAATACTAATTAGATATATGGAGATATATGTATTACCAATAAGGAAGTGGTTCTTTACGGTACCATTGATGATGTCTTCATATTTAGCAAGAGATAGGAATGTGGTAGGGTTGGCCATCGAATTGCTTATATTTTTTTTTCTTTTTGATCTGCTTGCAAAGTGAATAAGCTTATTTAGGTGCTCATGGTATATATAGATATACAAGCTAGATATCGATAAGAATAAAATCTTACCTATTATGTAGAAATCTTGATGAGCAAGTTGTTGTAGATAAGGAATATAGTTGATACTTATAATATTCCCAAAGATATTTCTGTTAACTTTTTGATTTGGTGTTAGCCCATAAAAATTTTGAGCAGAAAACGTAATGGGCTTAACGTCTAATATATTAGATGGCAGCGAAATTGTTTAGAGAAGCAGTGGCAGAGAATCGTAATTAAAGTGAAAAAATCAGGGTTATTTCCCAAATGTACATCACTTTTAATATATTAGATTATAAAAGTCCAGTGTATAGAAAAAATAGAAAATATTGTAAAATTAGACTTGCGACTAAATTTCACGTTTAACTAACAAATGAGATATGGTTTTTTTTTTGTTTTTTTTTTTCAAAATTGTTAATATATTAGCTTATTTGTGATATAGGAGGGGAAGGAGAGTCAAAAAGAGCTATAAGCAAAATCTAATATAAAATAAAATATGAATTAAAAATAAATTAAAAAGATATCATGATACAATAGGGATTTGAATGTAGTGATTTAGTAGTTTAGAAAGAAACAATTGTGAGTACATGTTGCTATAATGTTTCCTATTTATATATGCAATGCTCTTAAGTTTTGAGTAATTTCCACGTAATTAAATGTGTAATTGTATGTCAAACTCTTTATTGGAATCTGACTTCCTGATTTGTTTAAAGTAATTGCCTTGTTTAATCTATACAAACGCGTTCTCCTCATTGTAAATGTACAAACGCGACATCAAGCATTACCAATAATATAAAATGCCAATCAGAATTTCGGTGATTGACATTAAAAACAGAACACCCAAATCACACATATTTTATTCAACTGAAACCGATCAGTTCTAATGAGATCGTGATTAATTCCTCAAATTGAAAATCAGCTATAAATGGTGATTAATTAATTAATTTCGAAGCTATTTTTGTAAGTTATTTATTATTTTTCCTATCTTTTTATAAATATGGATTTGAAAATTGTTTTTATACATTATATAATTTCATATCATACTGACATTAACATATATTATATTATTTGTATCTCAGCTAAAAAAATATTTTTTCTTTTTATATAATATTGGAAACCCCAACATAATAATATAAAGTATATGTTTCATGGTTTAATTTTTAGTGCATGCACATGTTTTAACCGTTTTTGATACAAACAATCTTCATTATTTCCAAAAAATATTATTAATTGGTTTGATATTTCAAATTATTTTTCTTAATTTATACCTAATTTATAGAATCTACATAAACCAGAAAGATATCAATTTTCCAGTTCAAATCGATATTGATTAGAGAGATGAATGCCTAAATAGAATAATTTTTATTTATATAAATCCATAGATTAGACCGGCTGTAAATTTAAAATCTAACTTCCCATCCGCTTAATATTATTTGAAGTTTTTCGTAGGTGAAATCTTATAGTGATGTTAATGTTGGTGTATCGTCTTGTTCGATAAATATGAAACAAAGAATCAAATGTTTAATTTATACATATATATTGTGACAGCCGTAGAAGCATATTTCACATTTATATTGTGACAACTGTATAAACATAATTACATTTTTACATATAGTACTAAATGCAGAATCCATAAATATATAGGGTAATTTCTGCAACATTTAATGCACACACATGTAAAAAATAGATGCATACACGATTATATACATATTTATGTTAGGTTATATAGACTAATGACCAAGGGTAAATGTTGTAATTATGCTAATTAACTAAAGGTTTTAACATATAGGTGGTGAAAATGCTTGTGGAGCTGCCACGTATAAATGACACTCATATAAATTACATATCAAATAAATGTTATTTATTTAAATTTTCCTCAAATAATAAGAAAGTGATAGTACTAATATATGATGGTCCTCAGTCTCCTGGCCTCATGAAAATGTTGTAGATTAAAAAATATGAATTAGTTGTTGAATCTGATATTTTCTGGACAGTCTGATGATCGGTTTCTGTTTGAATTAATTTGTTATAATTTTACAATTTTGGTTTTTCAATATCGTAAAATCTCAAAATAGTTGAATAAGGTTATTTTCAAATTTCAAAAAAAAAAAGAAAAAAAATCTCAAAATAGTATAAATTTTAATTTTCGAAAAAAACATATTCTAACAAAAACAAAAGAGAATATGAGATTTGAGCATATTCGTCTTTGTAGTGAAACCACGCGCGAAGAACTGACGCGTGACGTACAATTCGTCGGTCAACGAGGGAGCCACGTAATCTCACATTGCTGTTTTCTTATCATTATTCTATCACCACCCACCCAACGTCTTTTCGACACAGCAAATATCAGATTATTATTATTTTTAAAATCAAAACACCAAACTTCATAAATCAATAAACAAAATTGCTTTTATTCTTCATCATCGATTCTCCTGAACCCATTTTCCTTCGGGAATCTGACATTTTCCCAGGAAATTTCTCGAAATTTCCGATCCATTAAACTATCGAAAAACCGCCATGGATGAGACGTATTCGGAGATAATGCAATTCCTGAAGAAGCCCTCTTTTACAGAGACATTCGTCGACATCTTACTTTGCGCTGTCCCGATTTGGGTCGCCGTCATGATCGGTCTTTTGATCGGATGGTCATGGCGTCCGAGATGGACCGGGTTGATCTATCTAGGGTTCCGTTCTAAGCTTCGTTTTCTATGGACTGCTCCTCCTGGGTTCGGCGCTCGTCGTCTTTGGCTTGCTTTCACTGCTCTCTCCGCTTTCTCCGTTTGCCGCACCGTCTGGTCACGCCGTGACACCACAGCTAACAAATCGGCTAATGGTTCATCCCAGGCACAGGCTCCTCCTGGAGAGGAGAGTCTTCAAAGTGATGAAACAGGGTCAGTTTATTACAGAACATGATGTATATTTGCCTTTTTTTTCTTACAATCTGAGATTCTCTCTGTTTTGTTAATCATTGCTATGTGTTCAAAACGGAACGTTTACTTTAACGTTAGCCTGTAAAAGCTATATAATATGGTATATCGATTGATTTTATACTAATGACACTTGAAAAACATTTTACTTCAGAACATGATGACTTTAGAGCTGTGTAGCTATTTAGATGTGTTTTCAAAAAACGGAACGTTTGCTTTTAATGTTAGGTTGTAAAGCTATATAGTATGTTTTATTGATTGATTTTATACTAGTGTAGCAGCCTTGATTGACGTTAATTATTTATTGCATTATAATTGGTTGTAATCTATTTGCAGACCTAGTGTTAACACGACTGTGAGAGAGGAGATTGTGACAGAGAATGATCTAGAGCATTTGCTGCAGCTGCTTGAAGTTGGAAATGCAAACATGGAATGGCAATCCATGATGGACAAGATTACTCCGAATATGAGTTACCAGGCTTGGCGTCATGAGCCTGAGGTAACCTAAATTTTTGACTCTTGCTTTGTTGAAAAAATTAATCCTTTAGAGATATTTGGATGGCATCTGATTCAGGCGAGCTGCTTTTAGATTATTGGTTCGTCCTTGAGGAAAGATAGTTGTTTTGTTTAAAATTATGTGTTTCGTTGAGGATGACTATAGATGATGTAAACATTGTGGTTTGCAGTAGTATGCGTCTCTTAGGTTCCTTACTCTTTTGTGTGCCCTTTTTATGATATTTGACCTGAAACTGGTATTTGCTATACAGAAGTGGTAAATTTTTAAACACGAGTGAAAGAACTATTTGATCAAACCATGTTTTTAGTCTGAAAGGTTGTGTTGTTTGTCAGACAGGTCCTGTTGTTTATCGCAGTCGAACTGTATTTGAAGATGCAACTCCAGATATTGTTAGGGATTTCTTCTGGGATGATGAGTTTCGGCCTAAATGGGATTTTATGCTTGCCAAGTTCAGAACTCTGGAAGAGGATACTCAGACAGGAACAATGATTGTTCAATGGAGAAAAAAGGTTTCTGAGACTCAAGAGGTCTTCTAAATTAAATCACATAGAAAGCCATTGTCATTACTAATTTTCCTTTGCCTGCAGTTTCCCTTTTTCTGTAGTGACCGAGAGTATATCATTGGCCGGAGAATATGGGAGTCTGGAAACAAATTCTACTGTGTTACAAAGGTATTGCCATACGAAGGAACCAGCGTCTCTTAGTATTAGTAATGGAATGAGATTGGTCCAAAGAAAGACAAATCCAATTCCTGTTTTATTTAAACCTCCTCACACTGTTGATATTGTAGGGAGTTCCTTATCCATCATTACCAAAGCGTGATAAGCCAAGGCGTGTCGAGCTTTATTTCTCAAGTTGGGTTATCAGAGCAGGTAAGCCAGCCTCTTTTGAAATGCGAATCTTTGATTTTTTCTATAAGCTGGAACATAGTTTGAATGTTAAAGGAAAATACAAAACAAAATGCAGTTGAATCTCGAAAAGGAGATGGACAGTCATCAGCATGTGAAGTATCTCTAGTCCACTACGAAGACATGGGGATCCCAAAAGACGTTGCAAAGTTAGGCGTCCGTCATGGCATGTGGGGAGCTGTCAAGAAGCTAAACTCCGGTTTACGAGCTTACCAAACCGCTAGAAAATCAGACTCGAGTCTATCCCGGATCGCCCAAATGGCAAGAATCACCACAGTGCTTGACATGGGTTCTACAGAATCATCTACAAGTGATGAAGACAGAAGCAGAGCAATGGGATATGCGAGAAGGCAACGGGACAATCTGAGAATGGACTGGAAATGGATTGTTGTTGGAGGTGTTGCATTGGCTTGTGGCCTTCACACTGGGGTCATTGGTAAAGCTTTACTTGCTGGAGCTGGCCAGAGACTTGCTCGCCGGTGAAAAACCTTGTGGTATTCTTCTTGTTATTATTATCGTTCCTTGACTGAAAAAGAGAAAAAGTATACATATAACTAGCGGAAATTTATTCTTCTTGCAACTCTGATAAAAAGGGCATGTGGTTTTGATGGTGAACCATGTAGAGTAGTAGCTTTGAGCTATGTATTTTATAAATTATATGAATCTACATTAGCTCTTAAAAGCTTAAAGTCTTTGCATGTGACAATTCATATATATCATTGCGGTGAATCACCTGAATAGGAAATAGCCTGAAAGGAGGTTTGTAGCCAGGAAAGATCCCTGGAAGATAATCAGTATCAACAAGTAACGGATGACCTCTTTGCCAGTCCGTGTACCGAGGACCAAGACCCTCTAACAATTCTTTTTTTTTTTTTTGTCAACCGAACCGTCCATCTAAACTATATCAAATGCTGGTCAGTCGAGCCGATTCTCCAAAAAGCATCTCCATCTGACCGGGTCTGTCTAATCTATATGGAAAAATGTATATCCTCTAGTTCTTGCTTCTTTTGCTAACGTATCCGCTCGACCATTCCTACTTCGGGGGATATGAAACAGGCTCACATCCTCGAAATTTTCTTGTAATCTCTGGAACACTTCAATCTCTATTCTGAATGTCGTCCAATCCTCATGGTTAGTAGTCATGTTCACCACGTCCGAGCAGTCCGTCTCAAATTGTATCGAAGTTATCCTTCTATCTCTTATACATGAGGCTACCAAAGTAAACATTCTATCTCAGCTTGTAAAGCTGAGAGGCTCCTTCTGCATGCTCGTAATCCATAGATATCATAATCCATAGATATCATAATCCATTTGATCTTTAAGATTCCACCCTAGGCTACTAACACTGTCATTATCGATCCATGACGCATCAATTTGGCAGGTAGGAATTTGGGGTATCCAAAGGGGTTTTGTCTCAACCCCTGTAATAGAAGGATCGTCATGATCCTCGTTTTGCCTCCTCCCTTTCATTAGCTTTCCTCCAACATTAAAGAATGTCAATCGGGATACGACTTTCCCATTAAAGAGTTTGTCGTTCCTCTAACAATTCATTTATTTCATCTTATTATACTACTTCTTGTTGAGATGTCCCTTCTCAATTTTCCACATTCGTTGTCTCCTTCTTTACCTGAGGAAGATGTACTTGCTCAACACTTTAATTCACTGTACTTGTACGTAAAGAAGATGGTGATGTCTCTGCTCTTCTGTATACTTGCTTGAGTCTCCGAATTTCTGAGCTCTTCTTCCACTTCTTCTGAAACGCATCAACCACATCTTGAGTGGCACATATAACTCTCTTCTTGCTCTTTGTTCTAAACATCTCATTCCTCAACCCATGCAGCTCAGCTTCCTCGAGTGAGTATCCACTCTCCTTCTCGGCTATCCACACTCCAGTTAAAAGCTCCTGTTTCTTTTCCTTGGAACGTATGTACCTTTTTTAATGGAAACCTATGCTTATCCATTGCTTCTATACACACCAAATGGCAATTCCTTCGAGAATCATTGCGTGCATTATATGAAAACATAATTGAGAATTCCTAACATGTACCAAAAATGATAAATAGATACACGTTCATTCATGTAACATGTGCCTCATATTTATTCATATTTATTCGGTCGAAACTGTAAACGGATCCATATATTTCCCGTTTCTATCGAATCTTCTTTTCAAGGTTCGATTTTCCGCCTACAATTTTCTGCTTTTCTCCAAATTTCCCTGTGATTAAAGGATTCTATCTCGGTTGCTGTTGTGGTAGAATCTGATGAAATCGCCAGACGGATCTGAAACTGGAGAGTTCGTAAACTGAATCTCGGTGATTATGGAAAATCGATTTGGATAATTGGTTTTGTCATGTTATCGAAAAGAAAACAAAAGGAAAAAGTCAGACTTTACGACCTTTAGTTTCTGAAGGCAACTGTTAATAATATACATGGAATTATTGTGGGTTTTGTTTTGTAACATAGTTTGTGGTGTTCTTTGATGAAGTAACTTTCTTGTATATCACTTGACAGTGTGTAATCTTCATCAAACTTGATATCTAAGCTTTGCTTAATTTGATGGGTTTCTTAATGATTACTCCTTCAGGACTTAGAATCTCTCCTCTATTTCCTTTCATCATGTCATGTTTTCAGAAGTATAATTTACTAGGGACGTGTCTATATCTGATGACAAACACTTACAGTTGCCTACCCACCACACCATCAGATTCTGTCAACACTTCTCCAAGATCTACAACGCGAGAAGGCTTGCAGGGAACACGGATTCTATCTCGCATTCGCCGCCCTCAAAAGGATCGATAACACCGCAACAATCATCAAGGACAGGTCCTTACATACCCGGTCTCCTTCACTTGCCACACATTCTTGCCTGCAAAAGGAGATATCTTGCAAGGGACTGTCATCAAAGTTTTGTGGGACAGAGTTTTCATCGGATCAGCTCCACTCACTTACGTATACCTCCCGCCCTCAAAAATGCCAGGTTACCAGTATTTCCCGTCAGAGTCGGAGGATGAGAAGCCGTTTTTTTCGGAAAGAAGATCTCACCAAGATAGCTGCTGAAGTTGTTGTGCGGTTTAAAGTTGAGACCGTGCAGTTTAAGGAGAAACCAAAGAAGAACGAGTTTTACACTCTGACAACTATGGAAGACGATGATACATTTGGACTTGGTCCTATCTCTCTTATAGGACCAGATGCACCGTACATGTGATTTGTTGTACTCAGTCTTTTGAGTTAGTTTCACTGAACCGTCCTCAATAAGGATAAACTTAACATTGTCAATGCAACATCATCTGATTTTAACACCTAAAAAACCATTTATCTGATTTCGAGGAGCCAGGGTTGGTGTTTGAGTTATCGTTTCAAGTGCTAAGCTAGTCTTCTGAAATTACTTGTGTATAATTCCTTCTGGTATTTGCATAAGCATAAGCATGTCAATTAGAGTCAAACTCCACAGTCTGAGCCTATCAAATCCAATAAATTACCAGATTTTAATTTAATTATATAAGTTAAAAATATCAGGCATTTCAGACTTATTAGTTTTAGACGTTGAGTTCAAATGAAGAAGAAATAGTTTGTTAGATTTTGTAAAACAGACTTGTTAGTATTAGACGCTGAGCTCAAATGAAGAAGAAAAAGTTTGTTAGATTTTGTAAAACGTATTGTATTCAATATTGTAACTGTAACATACATTTTGAGCGTATACATACTCTGTATTAAACCGGTTTATATACTAAACCACAAGTTCAGTTACTATAAACTCTAATACCCTCCCCTCAAGATGGAAGACACAAACTGTGGAGTCCAATCTTGCTAATCAAACTCTTGAACAAAACAGGTTGAACAGCCTTTGTTAGTTTTTCCGCAAGTTGAAGTTCAGAGCGTACATGGAGAGTCTTTAAGAAGCCACTTTGGAGACGTTCGCGAACCACATGATAGTCCATCTCCACGTGCTTCGTGCGCTCATGATAGACATGATTGGAGGCAATGTAAGCTGAATGATTGTCACAAAAGAGAGTTGCAGGAGTACTAGGAGATCCTCTATTGCTGCTTTGTGTTCTCGATTTTTCTTTCGCCGCAAATGTTCTTGACATTATTCCGTGACTAACTTGGTTTGACGGAAACGAGATCAATGCTTTGATGCCTAAAGATGTCTCATATAATTTTTTGATTCTTATACTTGTTTTATCAAGTTCGATAAGATCTTTATGACTTCGGCAAATCATCGAGTTTTGCTCTGAAGTTTCGCAGAGATTTTCTAACCGCATGATTGCGCCGAGAGATGCTGTATATTCCACGAGATTATTTCCCAGACGTTTTGGATCAGTCTTTAGCGTTTAGACGATTCTTAGATTGTCGTTAGCTTTTGGGATGATTTTGACGAGGCGTCGCATTGTCCGAATATTTTTCTGCTTGTTTTGGCGAGAGTTTGCTTTATAGAAAGCGTTTTCTCGAGGCGAGGGAAAATATTCGACGAAAAGAAAAAAGACGAGTTTCCTCTGAAGGATTCGGATGATCGATAATCCGGGTTGGTTAAAGACTGTGGTAGACTGGCGATGACTTGGAGTATGTCTAGTTTACGAAAATTTGTAGGAGCGAGTCGATTTTAAGACGACGTCAGCGTCTCTAGCTCCTTCTTTCTTTTAGGAAATGATTATGTTCGAATGCGTGGCGATCGTTTCTCGGTTGTACGAGAGATTGGATCGGTTTGCGAGATATGCCTGAATGGTTAGAGAACAACAAATCGAGATAGACAAAAATTGCTTACGACTTAGCATGCTAGACTATCCTCTAAATTCTAAGTTCTCTAGGTTTCACGGCAGTTTACAAGACGTTTTCGTTTCTTAACTACGAGAAATTAGAAGTCTAATAAAATTTTCAAATCGGACATACCTTAGTTTCATCGATGATTTGGGATCGTCTATTCTTCGTTCTTCGTCTTTTGACTTACCGGTCTTCGACGAATTACCAGCAAGAGTATCGGAGCGGGGAGAAGACTTAACCATCGGAGCTCATGTTCTTGTTTCTTCGTATTGCTGGTTTTACTTGACCAACTAGGTGCGCTTTGTATATCGAAAAAATCAATCACGTGTTTGTGATTGGATGTTTTCGACTTACCGTGGTAGAGTTTCGTAAAACCGGATTGGGTCTAGAGAGTTCAGATTTCTCGTATAGTTTAGGAAACTTTGGTGTTAAGTCAACTGTTGCCGTTTTAGACGATTGATTCGAATTTATACGAAGAAACAAGTCTTTGCGGTTTTATCGTAAAATCCCGAAAAAAATTCCGATTGAGTCGAGGATTGGTTCAGCTCGACGTCGGGCAAGTAGGGTGAACCCTTACAGCTCGCCGTGTGGTGATCTGGATGGTAAGAACTCTTGGGGCGAAGTCAGCGTCTCTTGGGCGAGCTAGGCGCTTGGTTCAGCTCTACGTTCGGCGAGCTAAGACGCTTGGCGCGGGTGATCTCGATTCGTCAAGTTGACTTGTTTTCGTCGTAGAATCTCAACGGAAAGTCCGATTGAGACGAAACGAAAAGCGACTCGATCAAGATTCGAGATGGAGATGTTTCGATCCATCGAGCTTGTCCAACTTGCCTAATGGTGAGTCGGCGAGCACAGTCCCGATACATCAAGCTATCTTGTTTTCGTTGTAAAACCTCAACGAAAACTTTGATTGAGACGAAACGAAAAGTAGTGCGATTATTGTTTAGAGTACGGTCCGGCTCACCATCGCTATGAGTTGGATTGTGCGGACCCTCGGGGAAAAGTCAGTGCCTCTGGGACGAGGTGGAAAGCCGGTCAGCTGGCCAAGATGGCAACCTAGGTTGCTTGGCCAACTCACCGTCTTTTCGGCTGGACAGTATTGCCCGATTCTGCGAGAAGCCTACGGTTCTTCCGCGAGTAACCTAGGGTTTTGTCGCGAATAACCTAGGGTTTTTCCGTGAGTAACCTAGGGATTTCTCCGCGAGTAACCTAGGGCTTTCTCCGCGAGTAACCTAGGGCTTTCTCCGCGAGTAACCTAGGGTTTTTCCGCGAACAACCTAGGGTTTTGCCGTGAATAACCTACCACTACAAGAAAACTCGTCCATTACTAGGGCAGGTTTTCCTCGTTAGTTCCTAGTAAATGGCCTTTTACTAGGAACTTACGAGGAAACGCGTTTCGTCGAAAGACGTTCATCGTAAAGCCTTTTTCCTCGTAAAGTCGTAGTAACCACTTTCCTCGTAATTTCCTAGTAACCATTTTCCTCGTAATTTCCTAGTAACCACTTTCTTCGTAATTTCCTAGTAACCACTTTTCTCGTAATTTCCTAGTAATGCTTTACTAGGAATTTACTTTGAAATATTTTTCCCTATTAAAAATAATAATTAAAATAAATATAAATAATATATTTAAAAAAATTAAAGAATCCAAATTATAAAAAAAAAGAAATAACAAAATATTTTATAAATAACTAAATATTTAAGTTTTAAATTCATATACAATTAAAGAGAGAAAAAAACAAAAATACGGATGTTGCTCGTTAAATTGACGAACGAAGTCGTCATCCCGGCTCGACAGCTAGTATCATTAATATACTAGTATCATTTAAAAAAAACAGTTAAAAAAAATAAATCAACCTAATCTAAATTCCCTAAACTAACCACCTAATCTAAATTCCCTAAACTAACCACCTAATCTAAATTCCCTAATCTAACCACCTAATCTAAATTCTCTAATCTAACCACCTAAGTAGGAAATAGAGAGAACCTTAAGAGAATTCAGAGAGAAGCTTACTACAAATGAGAAA